ATACACACATATATACACATACATATATTATTATATTATTCTTCTGTCCAGGACAGGATGTAAAGTGGGTACTGGAGGAAGGTACTGCCTCCCTGACTGTGGAGATGCTTCGTCCTGCTGCTATAATTGAGCTGTCCTCTCTCATCCTGTGGGTAAAACACTGACAGGTGAGTGAACTACTTATAAGTGTCCAAACTTTTGTCCAGTGTCCAACGTGAGCCTGCCCTTTAATAATATGTCACAACCAGGGGCTCTGCTGCAGGCTTAAAGTGTTTATACTGTGTGTGAGTGTGAATTGGGAAATAGCGGGCTTATTTTTTTCACTGAGCAGTGGCAGCAGTTGTATTTAACATACAACAGTGTTGGAGGTGGGATCGAAAGTACAGTTTTGCCCAGGGAACCCAATCTTATCAAGTTGCTCCCGCTGCAGCCTCATCCTGCATGTACATGCTGTCATGTTTACACAGTAGGCAAAACAAATGACAGACACTACCACGCTCACGAATGGGCCTTCTGTGTATATCAGCTGTATCATAGAGCACACTGGTGTCAGATACAAAGGGCTTCTTATTCAGATAATGTTAAAGCACAGATTACAAAAAGAGGAGCTTACAGAGTTCATAGTGACCAAAGTTTTATCTGCAAAATACCACTATTATACTGTGGACTATCAACAGGATGTGAGCTGCCAAAAGAAAGATTAGTTTTTTTGTGATACGTCCTTGCTTAATTCGCTGGTCCAGGTCTTCAGTTACATGCGACATATTTATTTGTTTGGCCACAAAATAACAGATTCTTGATAGGGCACTTCTACTGTAACATTTCTTGTAACATTTACACGACGGATCACTCTCTTTGCACTGACGATGTTGTGCTGGAAAAGGCTCTAACACCATTCTGATCATAAATCACATACATCTGTCCCATTTTTTAATAATAATATATTCAGGAAACACACTTTTCCCCACTAGATGCAGACAGTCTCTGCAGTTTCTCATTGCAGTTTCTTACTTCCTGTTAAGTAGGCCTAATCCTCACATATACTTTGGGACTACAAACTAGTAGACTGATGTAAGTGCAATTTAAACTTTAGGGTTTTAAGAGTAGAGGCGATACAGTGTTAGAGCACCTTGCATTTTATTTTATGTATGTATATACAGTAAGTCGAATTTCAGTGTCCAGTGTGTAGGATTTACTGGCATCTAGTGGTGTAGTCTGCAAATCGCCACTCCCTTGCTTCACCCTTCCTTTCCAAGCATGGAGGAGAAACTACAGTGAGAAACGTGAAACAACGCAAACAGCCCACCTAGAGTCAGTGTTCGGTTAGTCCCTTCTTGGCTACTGTAAAAACATGGCAGTTCAACATGGTGGACACCATGGAAGATGACCCCTATATTCAAAACATCATTAATGTAACGTAGTGTAACAGCAGTGTTTCATACAGTGAATCCTGGTGATTGTGGCCGAACTTTGCAGCTCAAATGTCTCACATTGATATATTTTCATATGGTTTTCATGTCTCTTTGCACCCCACTAGCTTAGCTGTGGTTTACATCAAGTCCAGATAATAGAACTTGCAAAAATTAAAAACATAGTTGTATTCTTAATTGGACCTGACTGCTGTGTCAAAGCAAGCACAGGTTCAGCTTAATTGCAGCTCAGAATAGGTGTGTCAGAGTACCTCATCATCTGTGGGAGGCCTCACCAAAATAGACACCACCTATCCAGATCAGATTCCCTACATTAAGTGCACAGCTCTCCCGTTGGATGTAGCACTTGACCCATCTGCGTCCTGCCCCAAACGCGTCTTGCCCCAAACATACTGTTTCAACAGGAAATGCATAAAGTCAGGGAAGTAAGAGGGGTCATGGGGGTAGTGCAGAGGGTGATAGTGCAGCTGTACTATTGGACAGTGCACGGTTCCTTTGGTTGGCACAGCTTGACTGGATAGCTGGATAGGTGGTGTCACTTTTCCAGTCCAGACTTTGTGTAGTGTTTTACCTCCCTTAATCATCATGTAGCACACTGGGAGTCTGAAGGCTTACATAACACAGCAATGGAATTATGAATGTTATCGTCATTGTATCAGCGTTGCTGCACTGTTCCTGGTGTTATTGTGAAATATTGAGTACCCCAAACCTTTATGTTAGAAGTGTACAGTATGTACAATATGCTGGCCCATGTGGTCCGATCTAACAGACGAGCTACTGTAGTTCAAACTGCTGAAAAGGTTAATGCTGGTTCTGATAGAAAAGTGTCAAAACACACAGTGCATCACAGTTTGTTGGTAAAAGGCTGCAGAACATAATGACCACCAGGGTGCCCAGGTGGTCGATCGGTGTATATGCGTTCTTTATTGTCAGGATATGTACCACAGTCCATTAAAGTATCTGTAATTAAACCCCTTCTT